GGTTTAAAAAGTAAATTGAAATCTGTTATTACAAAAGCAAAAAGACATATAAAAAAATTAAAACCTAAAAGCAAGAAAATCGCTATACAATTAGCTATTGCCGCTACCAGAGAATTAGCTGATGATTCATCGATTAAGCTCCCTCGTGTCATTCCTATTCCGAAAACTGGAGGAGTACTACCTTTGATTCCTATTTTTGCGGGGTTGTCAGCGGCGGGAGCTTTAGCAGGTGGTGCAGCTGGTATTGCTAAAACCATAAATGAATTCAAAATGGCTAAGAAGCTGTATGACGAATCGAAGAGGCATAATGAAAAAATGGAAGCTCTATGTATTGGGAAAGGACTACATCTTAAACCACATAAGGGCGGTCTTGGAATTTTCGTATCAAAAGAAAAAAACTAAGATATCGGCTACCCAAACGGGCCTTAACTAACTTTGACATTTTAAAGTATGGAAATAGATTTCCTTATTTTAGAGGTGTCTATATGAGAGATGAACTTCCTAAATATCCTAATAAAAAAGAATGTGGAGTTATTAATTTAGATAGTTCTAAAAATCCTGGTTCTCATTGGGTAGCCTATGCAAAATATAATGATTATGTTGAGTATTTCGACAGTTATGGAAATCTTAAACCTCCAAAAGAATTTATAAAATATGTAGGTTCTAACATTCAATATAATTATGAAAATATTCAACGTGATCACCCCTTCAACTGTGGACATCTATGTTTAAATTTCTTAAAGAATTTCTGGTATAATCAAGAAATAAAATAAACAGGATCATTGTAAAGAGTTCAGTATGCAAGCATGTCTACTACGGTTACCATCTCTGGAAATAAATCAGAACTGGTATCTTATTTTCAACCACCTCTTCATTTGTCTGATCAATACGAGTGCGGATTACTATACTTTTCAGTATTAAAATCAAAACCGAATGTACCCGTTAATAACATCAGTTTAACAGCTATCAGAATCGAATGTGATCTTGTGCACGGTTCATATTACAACGGATTACCGACTCATTTTATTCATGAATTTATATGTGATACTGCTTCAAGTCACGGCTACACAGAAATACCACAGAACGTTATTTACTTCCCGGTGAACAAAAATATAATTTCATCCATATCTGTCAGGATTGTAGACCAGTTTGGTTCCTGTATTGACTTTGGTGAAGAACATATTCAATTACGTCTTCATTTAAGAAAAGCAAAATGATAGTATATCATAAAAACCCTCCAGTGAAAATAAAACGTCCTATTCCGTCAACAACCGTTAAGGTGCACAGACGTAAGAAAAACGTGAAGAAATTGACTAAATCAAATAGAGATTTTCTTAAAGCCTTAGGATTTCAAGTATGAATATACTACAGATCACTGATTTACCGCACTTTGATAGTTCAATCGAAAGCTACGAAGTCCATTCATACAATCCGTACAATAACAGCTTTAGAGAAAACGATGAAATCAGAATCCCCATACATCAGCAAGATATATACGTGCTACCATCAGCCAGTTCAATCTACATCGAAGGTCAGGCAAAGCTGTTCGGTAAGGATGGGCACCCAATCAAAAAAACTGTTACGTTCACTAATAACCCTGTTATGTCTTTGTTTCAAGACATCAGATACGAAATGAATGGTATCGAAATAGACCGTATTAAAAATTCGGGAATTACGTCAACAATAAAATCATACATTTCATTAAATGGAGCAGAAAACAAAGTTGCGGGCTTATGGGGCTGGAACTTAGCAGGATTTCAAAGTGATGGACATTTTAGTGCTGTGATACCATTGAATAAGGTTTTAGGGTTTGCAGAAGATTACAATAAAATTATCTTAAATTGTAAACACGAACTTATTTTGAGTAGAAGTAACTGTAACTTAAATAGTGTTATTCTTACTGATGATGTTGTTACTTTTCAAATAGATATAGAAAGAGTTCAATGGAGGGTGCCACATATAAAAGTATCAGATCGAGAACGACTAACACTTTTGAAACTTTTAGAAAGAGACAAACCTATTCAGATGGCTTTTAGAAATTGGGATTTATATGAGTATCCCTTGCTACCTAAAACTACAAAACATTCTTGGTCGGTTAAAACAGCTTCACAATTGGAAAAGCCTAGATATGTTATATTTTGCTTGCAAACTAATAGGAGAAATAATCGGACTAAAGACAGTTCCCTATTCGATCATTGTGAAGTGACTAATGTAGCACTCTATTTAAATTCGCAATATTATCCCTACGAACCTTTGAGTTTAAAGTTTTCTGAGAACAAGTACAGTATATTATATGAAATGTATGTGAAATTTCGTCAGTCATATTACAACAGTCCTGAAGACCCATTGCTGGATCTAAAAGATTTTAAAGAAAAGGCCCCTCTTTTCATCTTAGATTGCTCTAGACAAAACGATAGTTTAAAAACCGGTCCAGTGGACGTGCGGTTAGAAGTTGAATGTTCCACACCAATACCAGATAAGACAACTGCGTATTGTTTGATTATAAACGATCGACTTGTGGAATACAAACCTCTCAGCAACATTGTGCGCAGATTATCATGAATGCTATTGTTGATATTCAAGGATTTAGAACAGAAGCAGGTGAATTTATATTAAAAGAAATCGCTATATTGTGTAACAAAAAACTACAATTGTTTTTAGTTAAGCCACCATTTCCATTTAAAAATTTAACGGAATCTGAAAAGAAGGTAGTTCTTTGGATTCAACGTAACAAAAAAATATACTGGAGTGAAGGATTTGTACCTTATTCCAATTACCAAGCTTTGGTGTCCGATATATTAAGAGAAAAATGTATTTATGTTAAAGGTTCAGAAAAAGTTTTATGGTTAAAGCATATTTTAGAAAATAGTAATAGTAATATATTTAATTTAGAAGATAAGGGTTGTTCTAGTTTAGTACATTTATATGATCAATATAATCAATCTGAAGATTTATATAACTGTATTTATCATAACTCTGTATGTGCTTTAAAAAATGTATTATGTTTAAATAAATGGTGCCATGATAATAAATTTTTTATGAAATAAAAAAGGAATGTGTTTCATTTTTTATAATACCTTAGCATACTATCTTTCCCAATCCTGTTAAATCATGTTTATAAATTGCTTGCATCATTAAAGCAATGTCATTCTAGAGGTATATTAATAATCGTAAGCATCAAGAACTAACAAATAAAATACCTAAATAAAATATGTATCAGACTGAATATAAACCTCGATATGATATGTATAATACATACAAAATACGTGAATTATCCTTCAATTATTATTGGGGGGCGAATAATTCGAAGAAAAGACTCGTGATGGAAATGGCTGATGCCGGATTCTTTTACTGTGGGAGTAATCCATATGATAAAGCAGCATGTTTTTCATGTGGAGGTGTTATAGAAGATTGGGAGATTTATGATGATCCTTGGATGCAGCATGCTATAAATTTTCCACAGTGTTTTTACCTAAACGCTGTGAAAGGGGAGGAATATATCAATAAGTGGCAAAACATCGTCAAAAATTGTGTTAGTGAGAAATCTTTCATGTTGCAATGAAAACCATATATGGAAGAGCATTGAATGAATGATGTCGTACAATACAAACTGCATGAAGCTGGGTCGCTATTTTGTTACATACTCGACGACATGTATGATATTTGTAATCATGTTTCTCGCTACTATAACTCCCACTAAATATTAAGCTTGTAATTGGGTGTTTCTGGATCTGACCTGATCCAGAAACCCCAATTACAACCTACTGACGTAAAGTTAGAAGTCCGGATTAAATGATAGGGTAATAGCTTTTTAACTCGGAAAAAATTTATATTCCCGAGGAAAAACAAAAGTATTGGTATAGATGGCGCTGTGTGTATTGGTATATGTCACATAGGCTACACTACTACATTCTTTTGTGACGCGAGCGAAGCCGCGGGTAAAAGCTAGTTTGAAATATATTTGAAATAAGTAAATAAATAATAACTGGCGTGGCTTGAAACTAGTAGGTGAAACGTTTCACGATAAACAATAGATCATACGCTTATCTATTTATTTCTAGTTTCCAGTGGCAGCCCTACTCACACGGTGGGTAGCATGATAGAAAAAAATCCCCCTCCAACGCTGACTAATTTCAGAGAATTGTAGTCCATTTTATTGGTGACAGACGCAATATGTATGAAGTTTTCAATCTACAAATAAATATGTTTCGTTGTATTAATATCGCGCGCAGTTTCTCGCCTCCTATTGATCAAAGCGTCATGTTTTATAGACTATAGCTTTCCTCGGTAAATGGACTATTCAACACAAAAAGAGTTATTCAATTCGAACCAGTTTAACCATAACATAACTGATGAAAAGTCACCACGCATATGCATGTATGGGTATAGTTGGCTAATTCTAGGGACTTGCCTCGTTGGCCGAGTGGTCGCAATTGCGATTGCCGGGAGAGGGGTCTCGGGTTCGATTCCCGGGTCGGGCAAAGTATTACTGGGTTTTAAAATTCTCAGTAGTAGCACGGAGTCTGGAACTGTACCCGGTATATGGCAATAGGCTCACCCCCTATTACATGGGACTCATAACATAAATAGTGAAAAGTGGGTGTTGCATTGTAAAGTGGTATAATGTGCACCTCTGCCTACCCCTTCGAGGATAAAAGGCGTGATGTTATGTTATGTTATGTTCTAGGGACTTGTTCTGTTAGAAATAAGTAAAAAAAAACTAAACATAAAGTTATGAAGTAATGTGTAATCAATATGTAATAGGAATAGGTTGCGGCATCAAAATAAGATATAGACAAATATAAGTGATCATTACGACAATAATAAAAACAGTATTAATCATATTCGAAAACTTTGTCCAGTCTTGACTAAACGGCTTACCATCGGAGTCACAATCGAGCTCCCATTGAGGAAATACCAAATATTTCCCAAAACTTTCGAACACTAAATTGTTAAAAGATATGATATAATTCTGAGGAGCAGACTTTAGGCTACATATTTTACCCAACACACACGAGAGTAGCATTAATAACAACGACAGCACAACCGAACCTCGGTAGTATAACAGCAGATTTGGAGGATTCATATTCTTCTTCGGTATGTTCTCTGCTAATTCACACAAGAAGTAATGATGACATAGAAGACAGAAGCTAGCCAGACCCAGTCGAGCAGGACGCCTCACATCCATAAAAAGAATCGTCAAATTCAAAAATGTCAAAATCATAGCTGGATACAACACGATCGCCGCTAAACCCGTCGCTTCCCGCTCCACAACAAAAGTCAACTTTAAACGTTTGTTAGATGTGTAGTTACTCTCCTGTTTATAATCTGCCATGGTCCACTCGGCTCCATATTCTGCACCCCACATACTAAAAACACGTGAAGACGAGTTAATTTGTATGTTCAGCGATTTTGAATCCGCGGCCTCGAAGATGAGGCTACACTCTTGCTGGTCGTAAGGCCAATGTGTAAGGTTGACATTACAGGCCGCATCGTGCGTCACCCTGCGCATGCAGGTCACCTCACCATCACTATAGATGTTGCAGCGAGCGAAGTAGTACCTGTCATTGAAGTCATCAGGACTTACTGAATTGACCAGAGTTATGGTTGGAGCCCAAATATTCATTATTGACATTTCTGTTACATCAATCCCGTAGTATTTCTCTGGGTTCCATTGGAGGCGAGGGTCGTTCCAAGATACAGACATCCGTGTTTGAACTGAGAATGTGTCTTCTTCGGTGTTGAAGCTGAATTTTTTCATCACGAATTTGACTTTGACTGGAAAACTGGAGCTGTTTTGTGGAGGATGTTCGAAGATTTTATAGTTGCATTTTAGGTCTTTTCGGAGTTGTTTCTCGAATGCCATGCGCTCGGGTATGTTGTTGATGACGCAGTCCTGTGCGAGGGTCGCGTGTAGGGCGGTCAGGAGTATATATGTAAACAGGGCCATGGCTTGTGTAGCACTGCTGGACAATGTTGACAATTGTTTAGTTCACTGAGTAACATGATCGGTCTCCGCCCACTGCGATTGCTTTCATTGAGGCCGGCTATGTTTATCAGTGTGTGTTGTATCATGTCAAATGATTGTGTCTAAATGATACCTAGTATTGTTGTAAATGTGATGGTATTAGTTGATTTACATTATATCGATACTAGTCCTTAAAATAAAACAAGTACATGTACAATTAAACATAAGCGATTTATTTTCATACAACGAAATAAATGCTACAAAATACAATGTACCTAATAATCAATTTTCCTTTAAACATTTATCACTATGACGCGGTATATTTAATATATCGGGATTAATTAAATGTTTTTACATACAGTCTAAAGTATGTTTATACTTAAAATCATAACTTTATACTATCCATATTATTATATAAAGGCATACAAGTTATTGTGTATGTACCTACCAGTGGCGTAGCGTGCCTTGGGGGGCCCCCGTATAAAAATTTTAAGCCCTTGAAGGGTAAAATTTTTTTACAAGAGATTTATTTACATTAAAATACTTACAATTTGTGTAAAAATAGAAAATCTTTTTAGGCAACTCCCTATGCCCTAATTAGCGGATCTTAATTACTTTTATTTTTCTTATTGTCTGCCAACCTTTGAACGCATACTTTAAGCGGGAAAATATCGTTTATTTTGACTTTTGTGATTACAGTAATAAAATAAAAATTGGGAAGTTTTTATTCATTTTTGCTTAGGCACGTTGGGCGCCTCTGTAGCCCGGGGGCCCTGTGTAATGGGGATGAGGACAGGGTATGAAAATTAAAAATATAATTAGTCCGTAAGTTAGATAATGAAAAAATATTAGACACGTATTTTTTTATTTTGTCGTATAATAAAACAATACTTAGATAAAACGAATCAAAGTTTAGGGGTGGGGGCTAAAACGTCATTTCTTAGTATAAAATGTACGGCAGATACGGCGCTAGCTACGCCTCTGGTATGTACCTAGATAAGTAAAGGTTGATTCAGTTATAGAGACAATAACTGTAACTGTAATACTGAGCCGAATAATGGTAGCAAGCCAAAAATTTGCCTTCGTTAAAAACATTCCTTTTTGAATTTGATATAATAATAGATACTGAATCTTTAACATAATATCATGCCTTTTATCCCCGAAAGGATTGGCAGAGGTGCACATTACGGCAATTAATCCCACTATACAACGTAACACCCACTTTACTCTATTTATTTTATGAGTCCAATGTTACAAGGGGTGAGCCTATTGCCATATATCGGGAATAATTCCAAACTGGCTCGTCGGCCGAGTGGTTGCAAGTCCGACTGCCGGACAAGGGGTCTTGGGTTCAATTCCCGGGTCGGGCAAAGTATGACTGGGGTTTTAAAAAAATCTCGGTAGTATCACGGAGTCTGGAATTGTACATCCAATGTCATGACAGACCGTGATAGAATTACAGAATAGCCCAGCTGTTCTAGAAACTTAAACAAAAAATAATATATGTTGTATGTATGTACATTACGTACCTTAAACTTATTACGATAAACCTTAAAATCAGTACATGTCGTGTTTAGAAGCACCCTTAATATGGCATTTATAATATGTTTTCCAGACATCGCGATTCAATCTGACCACAAAGATGTAAACATCCATCGCAATGATGGGCAAATATACCACTATGGAAGTTATAAATGGTGGAAATTCACTCAACAATCGAAAGGGCAACAAAAGAAACATAATCCCACTCACTAAAAATATAGCAGTCGCAATTCGAACACGACGCCATCTATCGCTAGAATCAGCGACATTATTAAACAAAGCGTGCAAAACTTTTAAATAAATCAAAATGTTGACTAACAATGGAAGGAAAAGTATTGAATTGAATATAATAGCCGCGTTATCACCAGTTGCACCAATGTGAGGCATAACGACAGTTGAGAATACTGTAATCACTATCGGCACTCCCCAAGCGAAGAGAGATATTTTAAGGTACTTCTTAGACACTTCTGTATTAAACACTTTCACTAAATCAACATAGAAGATCCAGCACAATATAGTCAACCAACAATACGCACTCATTCTGAAATACAGGAACAACACCCCACCGGTCATGTTTATTTCCAATCTATCACTCTTCTTTATCATTTTGATCAAATCTGTCATCAATAAGTTGACAATGTTGTTGAATATGATGCTCAGAAATATGTAGTTTCTGAAATGTCGAAACTTCTTTATTAAGATCCATGAGACGACGCCGATGATGAAGGTGATTGAAGAGATGGTGACCACCGCGTAGAGTATACATCTTTTTGCGAAAACTCCACTGGTACTTGTAGAGTTGGTTTCTGTAGAGTTGAGGATGTGTGTGGTGTTGTTGAACATGGCGGTGCAGCCGCTGGCGCATGTATCGCGCACCCTCCTCCGTATGCTGCGCACGAGTGATCGAGTTTACGGAGTATTCTTATTTATGATGTAGGTCTTTTTATTTTGTGGTTACCTGTTTATATCGTAAATAAATTGTTATTAAATGAACCGGTGTATTGATTGACTATTTATAACATTGTTTATAAAGTTCTACTTGCCTAACTTCACGCATTTTTCCTTATTATTTATGACTGAAATTAATAAGCACATAATTAATTTTCATCATCATCATCATCAACAGCCTATAAATGCCCACTGCTGAGCAAAGCCTCTTCTCACACGGAGAAGGTTTGAGCATTAATCACCACGCTTGCTCAATGCGGGTTGGCGATTTCAAACTTATAATTAGAAATTATAAGTCCAGGTTTCCTCACGATGTTTTTCCTTCACCGTTTGTCAGTGGTGTCTAGATAATCTTAGAAAGTACATATAACTCGGAAAAAGTCACATTGGTACTTGCCGTTGGTAGGTTTCGAACCCGCACCCTCATGCATGAGAAGCGGGCGTCTAGGTTGGGGTCCTACGCTGTGCTTTTTGGTACGTGGTCTTCATTCATTTACTTTCGCTTGCTAATCTCCAGGAAAAACAACGTATATCGATGGTTCAGATGCTACCCACGAACACAGACATATGTATTAATAAAAACAACTTTCACCCAACCTTGACTCTCACAGAATGTTGGTACAGGTACAGTCATGGCAAAAAAAAATTACATTACAGTCAAAAAATTCATAATCATTCATTTAAATTACATCAGGAAGGCACTTTTGAACGTCAAAACAAAATACTTAAATATTAATAATGCCAGTCTGTCAGTCAGTCCTCTAGTGAAGCTATTTGCTCGTTCCAAAGTGCAGATTTGTATGGAGAAGAACGAGCCAGAAACTCAATACGTTACTCTTTTTCAATCAGGTTCTTCTCTATAGGAATCTACGCCTTGGAATGAGCAAATAGTTAGCTTCACATATAATTTTTTGTTGACGTTCAAAAGTGCTCTTATGATTGAAATAAATGTTTTTGACTTTTGACTTCAATATATCTATTAGTTTCTACATTTATAATGTATGCTAGCTGTTACCCGCGACTTCGTCCGCGTAGAATATACATTTTAGAATGTATCGTTTTTTTGTGTCAATTTTCTAAAATAAAAGTAGCCTGTGTTACTCCTTACTACATTAGTTATCTGTCAATAAAAGTCTTATAAAATCGGTCCAGATATTTCAGACATTAGCTAGTACAAACAAACAGACAGACAGACAAAAATGTAAAAATGATATTTTGGTATATGTATCGTAAGTATATTCATATGCGTCTAGTAAAAAGCGATCATTTTAATATTACACACAGACATTCCAATTTTATTGATCTGTATAGATGTTATAAGAATTTATGTGTGCGTTACACTGCGGTCATAAGCCTTTTTAAGGGGGGGGGGGATCGTCCAATGAAATAGTAATTGAATGATTTCCTTGACTAAAAACCACCCTGTTCCTAATCCTGCTCTTCGAGCCGGAGTTCCAGCAACCCGTTAGGCCACCCGCGGCTTGCCCTAAATAAATTGGTTGAAGGGGGGGGGGGGATCGTCCAATGAAATAGTAATTGAATGATTTCCTTGACTAAAAACCACCCTGTTCCTACTCCTGCTCTTCGAGCCGGAGTTCCAGCAACCCGTTAGGCCACCCGCGGCTTGGTCTAAATAAATTGGTTTAAGGGGGGGGGGGGGATCGTCCAATGAAATAGTAATTGAATGATTTCCTTGACTAAAAACCACCCTGTTCCTACTCCTGCTCTTCGAGCCAGAGCTCCGGCAACCGGTTAGGCTTTCCGCGGCTTGGCCTAAATAAATTGGTTTTACATTTCGATGCGCTTCGATTATCGACTCGAGTCTGCACTAGTGTAAACTGACTCTTACGTGTTTGTAATAGACTGTACTTTTATAGAAGGTAAAACCATGTTTTAACTGTATTGTTTATTTAATTTATCAATGTGACGTCATATTATGTTCTTACCGCAGTGACGTACTACACTTATTGTTGAGGTATAATGCCTGGTTAATTTTCACAGCGATATGTCGTACGACATTTTGCTGTTCCGGGTCTGGGCGTGATACGTGTGTATGTGTAAAATGTAGTTTTGTAAAGGCATGTACAAGTAATTCTAGTACGTATGGGGTACACAATAAAACAATTGGTATAAAAAAAAACAAATCAGTTTAAACCTGCAAGAATAACAAACTACAGACCGGTTTCGAAACTGATGTATGTATGTACGTCGCTTGAATTAATCACATACATTTTTCAGTTTGACTACACGGTTGGTGCGGTGGCTGGGCAACTGGTTACCGCGCAACGTGTCGCGGGTTCGATTTCCGCATGGCATAATTCTTTGTGTGATCCACAGATTGTTGTTACGAGTCTGCGTGTCATGTGTATGTGAACTTGTATGTTTGTAAACGCACCCACGATACAGGAGAAAAACCTAGAGTGGGGCAAACTTCTTTTTTTTTAAAAAAGACAGGAAAAAGTTCCATTTAAAATTTAATGTCGTACATTATTCGTACAAAACCACCACAACATGTTTCGAAGAACCATCCATAACCATATGCCAAGGTTGCCCCGGAGCTGCGAACAACTTCAAGGGTTACCGGGCCTCCAGGTCAAAGCAAGAGTAGGAACGGGGTGGTTTTTAGTCAGTAAGAGTCTGACACTCCCTCCTGCCTCACCTAAGGCGGGAAAAGTCATTGGATGATTTTTCTCTCCAATAGAAAATAATGGTTGGCAATTATCACAATGATCATGTTAGATACACGTGAGGAACTCAATATTCTAAGTACCGCAAATACATTATATCATATTACACTATAATGGTTTAAATACCTACATTTACCTGCCCATTTATAAATAACATAGGTACATATACAAAAGATCTTTGAACTCAATAACGACATCTGTCTGTGTGTGTGTTTGACCTTACTCAACAAGAATCCGGTCCTGCGTAAACAGTAAACACGGAGAATGTGCATAAAATATTCTTAAGTGCATTAATAAATAAAAATAAATGAAAGTTTTGCCGTTTCTGAATAGGGTAGTTTCCTAAATTTTATTTTAATGTCCGTCTGGTACATTATTTTAAAACTTTAGACAAGTATGTTTTCTTTTCTCACAAAATTAAATACTTTCGACGATATATTAATTTGAAATTTCGGGTGACGTCACAGCATGCCACATTCTCCTAAACTTAGTGCCATTTTATCTAAGTATTGCAACTTAATACGAGAAAATAAAAAATATATGTCTAATATTTTTTCATTATCTAACAGACCGACTTTTAATTTTGATACCCTGGAAACTACCCAATTCTTAAAAATTCAAATGTTTTGTCAATGCCTGTGACACTTGACTAACGATGGCTAAACATGAAATTTGAACTTTGATGAAGAAATACATACATTGATGTCTTTAAGACCTTTCGAAAGCCTTTGCTATGTACTGTCTCAACTTCCATTCTACTAAAAGTCAAAGTGGCATGAGAATTCCGGGTACGGATAATATTAATTTGACAAGTCGCAAAAAGAAAGTTCTTATGATGGGAAACTGCATAAATAAGCAAACAAGGATAATTCATTTTGGAGTACCACAGGGCATAATTTTAGGACCGACGACATTTCGTAATTTTGTAAAATCTGAGCCCAGTCTGCTTATTATCTTGTTGTTGGATAAACAATGAAGACAAATCTGAGAAATACGATCCTCGTTATTATAATAATAATGATGAACCAAACGTGGCCAAAAGTAGAATAAATCTCACTAAAAGTAATCTATCATCCTAGAATTACGTAAAAGCTACCTATTAATACTGTAAATACAGTCTACCCTTAGTCATGGCTGCAAGCGTGCCAGAGTTATCATAGTCTTGAGGTAACAGACATGATTGCGCGCGCAGTCGATGCGTGTGTCACCAATTACGTAAGTAAGTCGTATTATGCCATTAATAATGTTTTCCATGTTAGTTATTATTATACAACAGCAAATGAAGTTACAAATAACGTATTTACATTGTATATTCCAAATGCTTCAACTTAGTATATTATATTTACAGACCTTAACATCATTACAATACTTGTTTAGAGCCGCCCTTTATAAGTATGACGTTCATAATATTTTTTCCAGATATCACGATTTATTCTTACAACAACGAAATAAACATCCAGCGCGATGTGGGGCAAGTATATTAGTACAGGAGTCATGAATGTTCGGAATTCACCCAATAAGGTGAAGGGTAGTAAAAGAAACAAATTCCCACTCACTAAAAATATGGCAGTCGCAACTCGAACACGGCGCCATCTATCGTTAGAATCACGAACGTCCTTAAATAAAGTGTACAAAACTTTTAAATAAATCAAAAGGTTGACTAACAGAGATAGGAAAGTAGTTGTACAGTATAGAATAATTATTATATCACCAGGTTCATCAATATTAGTCATCACAATACCGTCGAGCACTATGATCACTATCGGCACTCCCCAAGCGAACAGAGATATTTTAAGATATTTCTTAGACACTTCAGTATTAAACACTTTCACTAAATCAACATAGAAGAGCCAGCACAATATCGTCAACCAACAATGCGCACTCATTCTGAAATACAGGAACGATAGACCACCAGTTACTCTCAGTACCGCACATTCACTTTTATTTAAAAGTTTGATCATATCTGTCTTTACGAGGTTGACAATGTTGTTGAATATGATGCTCAGAAATATGTAGTTTCTGAAATGTCGAAACTTCTTTATTAAGATCCACGAGACGACTCCGATGATGAAGGTGATTGAAGAGATGGTGACCACTGCGTAGAGTATACATCTTTTTGCGGGAACTCCACTGGTACTTGTAGAGTTGGTTCCCGTAGAATTGACAATGTGAGTAATGTTGTCGACCATGGTAGAAGAACCGCGCACTCTCCTCCGTTCCCTGGACACAAGTGTTCAAACTTGTGTCAACAAAACCAGATTTTCCTCGTTTTGTGTGTAAGTATGTTTATGGGTGACGTAATTTTAATTGTTTAATGAATTACATAGTTAAGCCTAAATTTACCTAAATGACTCAAACTGAGAAGTGTGGCAGAATAGGGGGAAGCCCCAACAGTGGGTGAATTGAGCCGATCTGATGATCCTGACGACACACCTAAATATTACATTCGTGTGGTAGTTTTTTTTCCACAATTAATTTCCACTTTGCCAGTAACTGATGCTGAAGTAGCCTAAGTCGATTAAGAAGGTTTGGATTGTTCTTAAATCAAATGTAAAACGAAAAGATAAAATAATTTCAAACGGTTTGCGGTTTTGCATGAATAGCAGGTAAGTAGAAACCTTTTACAATAAATTGTGATTTTCCCACCACAATTAGAAGGAAAAACCAAACAAATCAGACGACTTGTTAAAACAGGTTATAACACTTCTTCGTGGGCAGATGATTTATAAGAGATATTGGTGCTGATCCGTGGTCTAGGTAAGAATTATTAAGTTTTTTTTAATTCGTGGCTCTCATGGACTCAGGCGACAGAAGTTCCTCAGCGGTGGTTATCATTTATTATTTATTTATTTATTTCAATTAAAATAGTATAACATTACAGTCATTAAAGCAAGGCGAATAATTAAACAACGGCGATAAAGTCCGTAAATGACAAATTTGAAAAATTGGTATATGCATAAAAAAATAACAGTAAAGAAGTGAATCACTATAGTATACAACACGTCAAGCAATGTTTATTTCTGCTCAAATTCTCAAAAGCAGTCCTAATGATTTCGAAGAAACTGTTAGCATAATTTTATTTCCTAACATATACATATTTCATTCAAGTAGGTACCTAAAGGTTTTTTTAAGGAAAGAATCGCACAGGTTTCAACCTGTCCTAATTGTTAGTACCTATGTGGGTAATTACGTATGTATTTAGGTATTGTTTGTGTAGTTTTTATTGACTTACGGCCGATATTAATTCAGTCTTAATTCAAATTGTCTGAATTTATCTATTTTGACAGAAACTATACACAAGTGATGATTCAAATCACATGTCAAAAATTACGAAAGTGTGAGAGAGCTTCGGCACGAATGGGCCGGCTCGACCGGACTGATACCACGGCCTCACAGAAAACCGACGTGAAACAGCGCGTGCGTTGTGTTTTGTCGTGTGAGTGAGGTTACCGACGACCCCATTATCCCCCTGTCCCAATGCCTGAATCTCAAGAATCCTCAAATTCCTAAGGCCAGTAACGTACTTGTAAAGCCTCTGGTGTTCCAGGTGTCCATGGGCGACGCCGATTGCTTACCATCAGGTGATCCGTCTGCTCGTTTAGCGGCTTATCCCATAAAAAAACGATGTTAAGAAATTTAACCGAGAGATTTTCTGGAGCAACAGACGGCCTAGCGGGTTACAGGGGCTCCGGGTCAAATCAGGAGAAGAAACGGGGTTGTCTTTAGTCAGAGAGTCTAATACCCTCTTACCTCACCAAAGGGAGTCTGTTGAATTTCTCCCTTCAAAAAAAAAAAAGATTTTGGATGACAATGGTTACTTAACTTTAGCCGTAAATGATGTTCAATGAGAGATGATGTCATCAGGAGTTAGTACATTTCGCAGAGAGAGGAGACCGCGGAAACATAAAACCTTTGGAGCTAAATGTCACAATATTACTGAGAAAATAGATTTGTCACTTATTTATTACTAATTAATCATTAGTTTACAGTGACGTCATCGTGTATAAGACAAAATCCTGAATTAATATACATATTTCTATAGAATCACTTGTAGGAAGACGGTCATATAACGGGAACTTCATGCTTGGTATAAAAATTTCGAAATCACAACTAAATCCGAGTCAAAAATTTAAATTTTGGACATTGGCTTGCGTACCTGGCCAAGAAATCGAAAATTACAGCTCCCTCGGTAATATACCCGCTTTCCAGAAAATGATATAACCTTTGTATAATTGCAAACTAACTATCATCATCGATATTAGCCTGTTCTCTGCTAAACGTTCTGATAATTCTAGACTAGACTATGGTATTTTATCTTAATACATTTGATCTATTCAGTACCTACTGACCATTGCAGAGCACCTAGCTTCACCTAGCTTCACTGACAGACTGACTGACAGACTATTATTTATTTTGTATTTGTTGACGTTTCAAAAGTACAAAACTATGGTTTAATTGAAATAAATGCTTTGACTTTGACTCTGACTTTGACGTTATACTGATTCTGACCATTCAAATATTCATACTCACAAATCTGCATTTCCTGAAGCTGAAGGGTAACCTGTATGTTTGCAAGTCTTGATTGAATCGGTTGCTCCATCATAGGTCGGATCATCGTGTCATCAATTTAAGTGCGGGAGAGCCATGCTTCAGCACGAATGGGCCGGCTCGACCGGAGTGATACCACGGGCTCAAAATCGACGTGAAACAACGCTTGCGTTGTGTTTTGTCGTGTGAGTGAGGTTACCGGAGGCCCAATTACCCCCCTCCCTAGTCCCCGTCTCCCGAATCCCGAATCCTCCACAATCCTCAAATTGCCAATTCCCAAAAGGCCGGTAACGCACTTGTAACGCCTTGGTGTTACGAGTGTCCATGGGCGGCGCCGATTGCTTACCATCAGGTGATCCGTCTGCTCGTTTACTGGCTTATGCTATATATATATACTAGCTTCTGCCCGCGACTTCGTACGCGTAATCCCATTTTTTCCCGTCCCCGTTCGTGATTTTCGGTAAAAAGTAAAAAAAAATGTTGGTTAAAAAGTATCCTATGTCGGTCTCCTAGCTCTAAGCTACCTCCCTACCAATTTTCAGCTAAATCTATTCTGCCGTTCTTGAGTTATAAGTGGTGTAACTAACACGACTTTCTTTTATATATATAGATATAAAAATATATATAATCGCTTGGCTAGGCGAGACAATGGCGAAACGCCGGCTACCGATGATCAGCAGTAAGTGCGTAAGGCATTTATATTATTCTCAGTACCTACTAGGTACGACTTGTATTATTACTAATATTTCTCATTAAATACAATCAAGTTGACTCATTAGCGTCATCGTAGACTGCGTGACGTTGTTGCAAATACGTATAATATAGTAGGTACCTATATATATATATACTTATACGAAGATGAGTATGATATAATATGTATAAATAACTCAATATATGTACTAACATATTTTGTATCAACCGATATCTAATGGGGAAAAAATCTACATAATTATTACGTAGGTACGAGAAACCGAGCATTTTAAATAATTTTGATGATACAATGACCTTTAAACTGTCAAACACCAAGCGGTCACCGGTGACCGCGACCTATTGTTCTTTAATTGTGTCTATAAAACCGGTACTCGACGAGTTAAATAAAATCCATTCTTGTCGCTCGTCATCGAAGGGTTTTTTTTAAGGGGGGATAATCATCGAATGACTTCTCCCGCCTGGGTGAGGCGGAAGGGAGTGTCAGACTCTTACTGACTAAAAACCACCCCGTTCCTTCTCCTGCACGTCGAGCCGGAGCCCCGGTTACCCGTTAGGTTCTCCGCGACTCCGAATCGGCATCGGCCCTATTGGACCCCATCTGTGGTGGTCTGATGGTTCTTTGAGGCGCGCGCGGAAGGGTTTGGAGACTTTCGGTTCTTCATGTAGGATAAGCAATGGATTTTAATGGACTTATGCCCAAACCCTATTAGATTAGTTAAGGCCAAAGCCTTTGAATAACATAACATCACGCGTTTTATCCCCGAACGGATTGGCAGAGGTGCATATTACAGCACATAATGCCACTGTACAATGCAACACCCACCTTTCACTATTTTATGAGTCCCATGTAATAGGGGCTGAGCCTATTGCCGTATACCGGGCACAATTCCAGACTCCGTGTTAACACTGAACATTTTTTTAACTCTGAGTACCGTCATTATAGGCACAATTAAAGAACAATAGGTTGCGGTCATCGGTGTCCTGTGCGGTGTTTGAGAGTTTAAACCCAGTATTACTTTGCCCGACCCGGGAATGGAACCCAAAACCCCTTGCCCGGCAGTCGCATTTGCGAAATGAGTTCGAGCCCAAACAGAGTATAAGTAAGTTGTGCACTTGCAAGTCGAAAGGCATCATATTTATTTAATTGTTATTAATTATGATGATATCATTTAGTTGATTCAACGACCTCAATCAACACTTACTTCATAAGAGGTCTTGGTTAAGGACAACCGCCATTAAATTCTTAGTATTGATATTGAGACTGCCTCATTGGCCCAGTAGTCGCAAGTGCGACTGCCCGGCAAGGGGTCTCGGGTTCGATTCCCGGGTCGAGCAAAGTATTACTGGGTTTAAAAAATCTCAGTAGTAGCACGGAGTCTGGAAGTGTGCCCGATATATGGCAATAGGCTCACCCCCTATTACATGGGACTCAGCCCAGACAGGTGCCCCGTAGCACACGCATTCCAGGTAGGTTACTCCGTATATGATCCTGAGCGTAAGAAAAGAGAGCCTTGTGGAATCTAGAACAAATTTCCGTGCGTTTAGGCGTTTTTGCCATACCTATTATTGGAAGCAAGTATAACAGCTTACACATAGGACCCACTTAGTTTTTTAGTCAAATTTCCGTGGTGCTTGGCGACTGGGCTTCACCCAGTTGTACAGTCTCTTCTTTGTGCCTTTAGGCTTAATTCATTCTGTCTCCTGCAGAAATTCACCGAGGGAAGTGGAAACTATAGTTTTTTCTTCTCCTCTTATAATATCTTCTGATTCATTTCGTTGCGGGAACCAAGACAGTTACTCATGTCCCTGGGACGCGCCGGACTTCAGTGTTCCGGTGTTTTCATGGTTGTATCTACTGTAGATCCTGGCTTACAGGAGTTGCAGCGGTTTTGGGAGGTTGCGGCGGGCTTGTCCCTTAAAAAAAAAAAAAATTACATGGGACTCATGACATAAATAGTGAAAAGTGGGTGTTATATTAGGTATATACAGTGGCATATTGTGCACCTCTGCCTACCCTTTGGGATAAAAGGCGTGATGTTATGTTATGATATTGAGACTAAAATATAACTCTTGAATGAAAAAAGAAAGAGACAGGTTAGTTTAGTAATAAATATGTCACAATTAATATATAGAATTTGTATGATAAGAACTAAGGGTACATGAATTATTTCCTTGTGCGAACTGCTAAGGAGTGGAATTCTTTGCCAGAGTATGTGTTTCCTGAAGGGTAAAGGATGGGTGTCTTCAAGCCCGAGTGAAAAGACTGCTTATGGGCAGACGGGCTCCATCATAGACCGCATTATCGCTTACCACCAGGCGAGATAGTGGCTGTTATATATTTTCAATATAGTATAATGCAATAATTATTTATCGTGTGAATTAAACAAGCTAGTCAGAAACTCATATATTTTATAAACAAAAGAAGAACATAAATAGGTTTCCCTATTGAAAGTGGCCAGCTTACCACAGATAGCATAAACATATATAACAGTGGCCAAACGTGGGCATATCAAATATAAAAATTATATTTAAGTATGATAAATATCTAAATTATGTGTGACAGAAGTTAATAGTCTTATTTACAGCTAACGCATAGAACGATTCTAAATTCAATTCTTAGTTGTCATAATAAACTATATCATTTCACATCATTTAATTTGAAATATTTGAAATCTTAATCGATATCTAATATAATCAAATAGATAAAGAAAGTTAATTGAAAAATTGGACCCAATAATGCACCCTGGGAAACTCCCTTTCAAAGATGATTGTTATGATTTCACAATATTTTGTTACTATGCATATTTCTTACTACTAAGCAATATTGTGAAAATCGTACTGAAGGAAAACTTATCTAGTTTAGGTACTAATAAAATAACAAAATATAAAATAATACCAATCCATCGTGATGATACAACTGATGCAAGCAAAGATTAGGATTAAGTGCAACCATTGAAATTTAAAAAATTGTGTTATTGAGTATTTGGATATTCAAAATAATAATAAAAAGGAATAGTATTCTGTAATACATTTCCTTGACTTCCTATCATAGTAAGATCGAAAGCCTAAGCTTCTGTGAAGATATACACATCTCTGTTTACTTTTCCTTCGGTTAAAACGTAATCGTAGCCACTTATAGACGGGTGACACTGGAGGAGTTCGTTACAACTTTACAAGTGCCGATCGTAGGAGGGCAAGAGGGATTGGGCCCTCGATAACATCATAACAAAACAATAACAGGCAACAGCAGCGTTGTTTTAAGCCCGATTTTTGTAAGGCCGTGGTGACTTAAACGGGTATGGCATAGTTGTCATCATGCTTGTTCAAATATGATTCTATATCTTTAAAGATTATTTTAATAATTAAATAAACAAATAATTAAGTTTGATTGGTTTCGTAACTACACTTGACTAACCTTATAAGACAAACCAGTTTTTCACGTGTTTTTCCTTATTAGTATCTGATTTATTCCTTAGAGACAACTTGTTGAAATTTGTACAATATATAGGTATACATAGGGCAGGATTTTGCAGTCCGATTTGTGGTAATTATTACCTTTCTTCCTTAACTTAATACCTAGACTTAATGAAAACTAGACTTGATAGCTATGCATACGAATCGACCTGAAATTGGTGCAATGACCAGCAGTAGCCAACTTATTTGAATATTAGATTTCCGACTATATACGTGTAACATAAAGTAGAAAATTCAATGAAAAACATTTACAGACGGTGTAGGTTGTATACCAGTGAGACTTGTGTACACATGACTTGTTTATCATGGTCTCCTTTTATATTATCTTTCCGCACATTCGAAGGATCAGTTTATTCTGTTCCTGTATAACTTGATGTGTAGTTTGCGTACCAACCTGTTTGGAATGCCAATTTCCAATCTTGGTTTTACCATGCTCGGTTATTTTTAGATTTAATATTACTATACTTAAGTTCATAGGGCTGTGAAGACGTCAGTATTTTAAGCTTTTCATTTAACAAGCTTTTATTCTTCATTCATAGTTACACAGTACGTATGTGTGTGAAGTGGATCTTGCAACTATATTTTGAAGTACTTAGATTTCTTCCACCTTTTAAAGTACTTTCATTTTGTATACACGTTTAGTTTTCATAACCATTGAGCCTCAGTTGTATAAGCATCGCAGGCGGGGACCACCTTGACCGCCACCAACGAAAATTCTGCTAAATGGTGCACAACCGAAATGACTATAAATAAGCCTCTGTTGGTCCCCGCCTGCGATGCTTTCCATCAACATTTATAAATTATATTCAGTAAATTTGTATTCAAAATAAGTTTCTGTTTATTTAACTATCGATTACGAACACATATTGTAGTGTATTTTAATATAGGTATTGTTTAAACGGTATTACATAATTAGTTTTTAGCATTTGATTGATCAATATTATTGTGGGGCTTGTTTTACTCTTTTTTTAGTGTGCAGTCGGGTATTTTGTTTTTTTAATAATAATTTTTTTATTTATAACTTTTTAGCTGTTTTTATTTAACGAAAATGTGCCCGCAATCGGGCTGTATACTCGAGCATATCCCCCTCCGCACCGCGCCGCGCGCCGCATGCCAGGCCACGCCCTATCTTTTTGCTTGCTAACGCATGAGTTGCTTTGCGTTGACGCAGAATTAACATGTTCCCGTGGGAATTTTGAGAAAAAACGTATCCTATATTAATTACTCCCGTGATTGAAATGAATCTAATGATACCGCATACATATTTTTTTAAAGGGAAATTTAGAAAAAATATTATTATGTCTTTATCCCGTGGGACTTTTAGGATAAAATGTATCCTATGACACTCCCGTAATCAAGACAAATCTAACGATACCTCATACATCAAAATCCATCAAGCCGTTTAGGCTACAGGTGGTCACAAAGGAAAACACATACATACATACTTACATACACTCGAAAAACATTACCCTCCTTCTTTGGCAGTCGGGTAAAAAGATTTATGTTAAGAATTTGTCATTTTTATTGACAATATCATCAACTGTGAATTATCCCATAGGTCGTCTATTAACTGAATCAATCTTTGTTTTCATACTTGCATACCGAACAAATAATGTCGTTGATGTGACATTAAATCATTATCTCATTCTACTTTTCCCCTCGTTTGGCAACAGACTTCCACACAGTTATTTATGAAGTTAATGACCCCAAATTAAACTCAAGATCAAGGTTATCACTCTCACACACTCAATATAATAAACCGTTATGAGACAATTTTAATATTATATCTTTTTTTACGTCATATACATAAAATAAATAAAATGTAATAAGCCTTCATTACTGAGGTTACACATTTACAATTTATTCAGTATTATTATTATTATACATCAGTACTTTTATCCTCAGCTTGTCCTTCGGCATAGGCGTCCTCCAAAAATTTCCACTTTTCCCTATCCCTCGCAATTCTCATCCTTAATAATAAAATGAAACTCATAATGGCATTCAGAACACTTCTAATTTTTAATTTTGTAACTAAATCCTCTCAAGGCGAATGCCACTTTAAAGTTCACTCTCAAGGTATGTTTTTATTTGACACTTTCTTTTCAAAATACTTGTGCCACAGCTCTCGATTACTCCTTACTAATGGGAGAAACATAGCTATTGAAAACTGCTGCAATTTAGACATTACAGCTCTCAACACGAATGTAACACTCATTACGTCCCAAATGAATGAAGATAACACTATGACGTCACTCAAGAGAAACAACAACGTGGCAATATAAAACCGACGCCAATTACTTGTTGCTGTAGGAGTTTTTGGCTTAAAACAATGACACAAAGCAATTAACACAGCGGCGTATAACCCACAATTAATCATTAAAGGCGACACAATAATAAACACTTCAATAGAATCAGCCACATAATCTAACACGGACCTGCTCAAATAAAACTTCACCTTCTTATTGATATACAGAAACACGTAGTAACTTAGAAACGTCACAAATGGTATGCCCCACGCAAACAAACAACACTTTAAGTATTTTCTCTTTACATGCCCACGAAACACTTTTACAATATCCACGTAGAATATGTAACAGATCACTAGCATCCAATAGTTCTGCACGGCCGAGAAGTAGGTGCAGATGTAGCGGCAGATGTCCATGATGTCTTGGTCGTCGATCACAATAACTTGCATCACACAGGGTATGATGATAGATACTGTTAAGAGCCGCAACAAACTGGAAACGACTGCATTGATGTAGACAAAGTTTCTGAAGTGCCGGAATTTGTTGAGGAGACACCATGAGATGGCGCCGTAGATGAACGCCACTAGAGTCATTACAAGGACGAGGTATTCCACCACCACTGACACGAGTGGAGGGTTGAAAGCCGTGGTGTTTGGCACGGAAATGCGACTATAATGAACATCACTGTCAGACATTTTGATGATGAAGAAGACGCGAAACCACACGACCGTATCGACTTAGCGAATCAGACGAATGGAGTTCTACGAGAAAAATATTAAGTATATACCTATTTAGGCGCGGGAAAAACCACTCGCTTAACTGGCTAAACAGGAATACAACCAATGAGGGTGTAGACTCTAGAACGAGTCTCTATCTCTACAAGTATCCGAACCCTAACTGGTTTGACATACAGTACTGGAATAGACATACTTTCTAGCCATAGCAAACACGATCATATTATATAAAAACAAATAAAAAATATTTTGTGGGTGTCCTTGGCGTCTCTAGAGAGTTTTAACAAAAGGTTTATTTTTTACAAGACCATCTCTTGACGTTGCTACATTAAAGTGTAGGAGCTATGTTTGGGCACGAATGAGCCGGCTCAATCGGAGTGATACCAAGGCCCGACAGAAAACCGTCGTGAAACAACGCCAGCGTTGTGCTTCGCCGTCAAATCTTAAGTGGAAAAGGACACACTTCCAATAACACCTTATTTGCCAATTTATGAATGAAGGTTTAGAGATTGTTAGAAAACGAAAAGATAAACATACCCACACATCAGTCGAAAACATTACGCACCTTTTTACATTACTGTAGTCGGATAACCAACAGAAATCGATATGATTGTTCAAGAAATAAATTGAACGAACAAAATTATTTAATGATGAACCCGTGGTGTGTCGCAGCGTAGATGTTACACAAGACAATGTATTTTCTACTGGGTCTTATACACCGGCATTAATCATATATTAATAATCATATATTAATATCATAATATTAATAAGGTTGGATCACTGTGTGGTAACTGATGCGGCACTAAAAACGGTTACTTCAGTAAGGGTGTGCTATGACATTTTCTGGTCTGATCACTGTCCAGTAGAGATCCAGTGTAACTTAAAAACAGTCTGTAGAAATATTAGGCCACCGCTCAGGAAAACCAATAAAGTTCTGTGGGGGGATAGGGATATAAACCAAATAGAAAAATATACAAAATATTGTAATAATAAACTGAGGGAAATTGGTTTCCCTCATGAATTCCAACAGTGTTGTGATCGTATGTGTAGTGATAGTAGCAAGGATCACGTGGCAGCGATAGACGCGCTTTATTGTGACATCGTGACAACCTTACAGGAGGCTGCTATTGATAGCTACGTCGGCCGAGATAGTGGCGGACGTCACCGCGGTCGTCATGTTGTCGGATGGAACAAGTATGTTCGTGATGCTCATAGGGAGGCTAGGCAGAAATTTTTGACCTGGGTGTCTTGTGGTCGACCGAGCAGTGGCAAGGTTTATAATGAAATGTATGAATCTAGAAAACAGTTCAAAAGCAAACTACGCTATTGTCAGAATAATCAAGAATTAATAAAGATGAATATTTTAGCTACTCAACATAAAAACAAAGATTTTAAAGGTTTTTGGCAAGAAACAAAAAAGCTAAACCCAAAGCCTGGCGTCCCTGTGAGTATCAACGGCATCTGTGAACCAAAAGACATTGCTGGCATGTTTAGGTGTCACTTTAGAGTGGAGTCACCGCTAAAGGGTGAGCGGACTAAAGACGCGGAGGTCGTCGTGACAGGGGTACCTGAGCGTGTCACAGCAAAACAAGTTACTCTAATAATAAAGGGCATGACTCGAGGGAAATCACCCGGTCACGACGGTATCAGCATCGAACATTTTCAGCATGCGGGGTCACACCTCCCGAGGCTCCTGGGTCTGTTATTCACGCTCTGTATTAGGCATTCCTATCTGCCAAATGAGCTGATGAAGACGGTGGTAGTGCCTATAAGTAAAAACAAGACTGGAGATAATTCTGACAAGAGCAACTACCGCCCAATCTCATTAGCTACAACCACAGCTAAAGTGCTTGATGGCTTGCTTGAGAGACAGCTTAAAAAACATCTAAAATTAAACGACGCACAGTTCGGTTTTAGACCAGGACTTTCGACAGAATGCGCAGTTATGTCTCTCAAGCAGACTGTCAGGTATTACACAGATAGGAGCACGCCTGTTTATGCAGCCTTTCTTGATCTCTCCAGGGCTTTTGACCTGGTTAGGTATGATATACTCTGGCATAAATTGAAGAATTCAGGTGTACCAGGCGAGATAATTAATATGTTTAAATATTGGTATGATCACCAGACTAACCAGGTCAAATGGCGTGATGAGCTTTCTGATGAGTACAGGTTGGAGTGTGGAGTGAGACAGGGGGGGTTGACGTCTCCTACACTCTTCAACTTGTACGTAAACGGGCTGATTGTTGAGCTGAGCAACATCGGAGTGGGATGCTCGATTGATGGTCGCTGTATCAATAGTATAAGCTACGCAGACGATATGGTGTTGCTCAGCCCATCAGTAGCCGCGCTCAGAAAGCTGATAGGTGTGTGTGAGAAGTATGCGAGAGTGCACGGTCTCCTATACAATGAGCAGAAAAGTGAGCTCATGGTATTTCAGGCCAGGGGTCGTAAACTGGGGGGTGTGGCACCTGTACTGCTTAACACTGTCGCTCTTCAAAGAGTGAAGGAATTTAAATACCTCGGCCATGTGGTTACCGAGGATTTAAAAGACTATAGGGACATAGAAAGGGAGAGGAGGGCGATGGCGGTCCGCTGTAATATGTTGGCACGCAGATTTGCGGGGTGTAGTCTTGGGGTAAAGATCACATTGTTTAAAGCATTCTGCCAAACTCTCTACACCTGCAATCTGTGGGTCAGCTACACGCAGCGGGCCATCAACGCTCTCCGTGTACAATATAATAACGCGTTCAGGGTGCTGGTGGGGCTCCCGCGCTGCTGTAGTGCGTCTGCGATGTTTGCGCACGCGCACACTGACGGCTTTCACGCGGTGCTACGGCGCCGCATCGCCTCGCTGATGTTCCGTACGCGTGGGAGCGCCAACACCATCTTGAGCGAGCTCAGCCAAAAACTGGATAGCCCCCTTATGAGGCACTGGGTTCAAACTCAAGTGTGCGTGACCGGTGCCTCAAACGGAGGCAAATACTTAAGTTAATTCTATTGTTAAAAAAAAAAAATTAAATAATTTGGCCTTTTTTCATTTCTTCTTTATATTTGTTGATGTAATGATATTTTTTACCTAAATTGACATTAATTAAATTGACAATATACTAATTTGAATGATTGATAATGCGGTGTTATAATGTAATAAATTAAATTAATTAAGAATATATATATTGAATAATAATAATCTAATCGTAAATGTATGGACCCAATATGTCTGAAATAAATTTATTTTATTTTATTTTATTTTTATTTATTTATTAAAGCAGTTAAGGTTAAGTTTAAAATTATTATACCTACAAGTCTCGAGTGAATAGGTTGCTTATATAGGTCATATTATCACTCACCAGGTGAGATGGTGCCCCAATAGTAACCCTATCAAGTATAAAACAATCTTTCTTAGTCTTCTGATTCACTTCGTTGCGGGAACCAAGACAGTTACTCATGTCCCTGCGACGCGCCGGACTTCAGTGTTCCGGTGTTTTCATGTTTGTATCTACTATAGATCCTGGCGTACAGGAGTTGCAGCTGTTTTGGGAGGCTGTGGCGAGCTTGTCCCATTTAAAAAAAAAGTATATTAAAACAAGTTTAAATGAATCTATTCACCAACCATTATTATGGACTTGTTATTGACTCTGATTTATCCAGAAATCAAAGCAAATCAAACCCATCTTACTGATGTAATAACTGTTTGTCAGTTTGTTTGTTTGTGTGTTTGTTTGTTGCTCAATCACGTCAAAATGGCTGAAGGGATCGGTATAAAATGACAATAACTGAGAGTGGGTGCCCTTTTCTTTTTTCGCGGCAGATGATCGGATATAGAAAAACTGATGCAAGATAACATAACAAACAAAAAATAAATGGGGTCTTAAATCAAAAACTCATTTCGAACCGAGTTAAATCAGTTCATAGATGTGTAGGTAAATTAAATAGTGCTATATTAATCCTGTTATTACGTTGATGGTGACCGTACACAACGCATGTTTCTTCATATATTTGTCACAAATCTTTTGTAATAAATATTTATAAACGATTTCAAGGAATAAAACAAAGCTTATGGTGAATGTTTTTACTTTTTGTTTTGTTTTTCTTTTTTTTATCATCAGATTAGAACAGAATGTAAAATTAACTGGCCTCTGCGCAAATTAAAGAAAATATTTCGCTCGCTTGGCTGGCGTCTTCGCTGCATATGTATAGTATACGGTTTACGGCCTATGCCAGATTTTCATGACCAATTTCCTCTCAGTCGAAAACCAGCAAAATATTTCACTGAGTCCTATCATGAAATGCTATATTTGTCCACTACAGCTTCGGTAGCGGATTGAGTAGCTGTAGACGTCAAAACACGTATAAAACATGTTTCTGTCTACTTCTCCTAACTAGTAGCTAATCCAACTACAGTTAATAATCTAACCTACTGTTAGCATAACATTTTGTAAAAAGGTATCGGCATCCGATTACAAAGTGATGGATTATCACTACAATTGACAACACAAATATTAAAAAAATGTACGCTCATCTGCCGTATAGTCCATCATTTCACAACCAGTCGACGATTTCCTTTCTTCAAAAGATTATGCTAACTATTAGTAGTTAGATAAGTTTCTAATAAGGAGTAAGTAAACTGCTAAAGAAATAGTACTTTGTTAGATGTTTGGGCTGCTGCCACTACTCAACCCACCACTGGTACCGCGACTGACGCTCACGAAGCTTCATGATACAACTCCTTGATGCATCCCACAAGTTATCGACTGAGAGAAAATAAGTAATACAAATTTGTGCTTGGCATACCATTCATATGATGGAGTAGTATGGTATACCTGTATCAGGGGTACAGAGGGAGCAATTTTAAGTTATATATCATCATCATCAACAGCCCATAAATGCCCACTGCTGAGCAAAGCCTCTTCTAACACGAAGGAGGTTTGAGCATTAATCACCACGCTTGCTCAATGCGGGTT